TAAGCCATAGGAATATTTCAGCTCCATTATAATCTTCCGGGACCACCCTCATCTATGTGGTCTGCTGAGATCATTACGCGGTGCATGACTGTACGTTCAATGCTTACTCACAACCAAACGATGGGTGTCCATAAGTATTTGATGAAATTCTAAGGGTCCTTACTATGCCATACTTTATCAAGTATTTGAATTTTACCAGTTCTTCCCATCAGATTTCTCTTCTGAGTTTGAATGGAGATTTTAAAAAAATAAATTAGGTTTCCAGAAAAATTTCTTATATTACTGGGGATTTAAGTTCATTGTGTTATCTAAAAATATCCAATATTTAACATACATTTTGGGTCTTAATCATAGTAATGTCTTACTTACATATTTTATTTAGCCAGATTCTGTAGGTTACCAAAAAAAAAAAAAAAAAAAAAGAGAGAAAGAGAAAATATGTCACATTGAACTCAAGGTTTAAACTGAAGTTCTTATTAGAAAAATTGACAGCAGAAGTGATGTAGTTCTTAGAGCTCCCAGCAGGGGCCAGAATGTTCATGCTAAATCTAATTAAATGAAAGGTTTTTTTAAAAACTGTAAGTCAGGGTTGTTTCTATTTTTGAACTAATTAGAAAGTCAAAGATATAACTCTTTGTAACTCTCTGTGGTTAAAATAACTAGAAACTACTGACTTTTTAATGTTAAATTTCAAGAATATAGATATATAATTTAAAATATTGAAATTTGAGCTAAATAATGACGTTATATAACAAAACACTGACCCCAATACCTGAGCAAATGGGCATCAAAAGTACATTTAGTCAGTAGACATTAAAACTCCTATACTAATTGCCAAAAACAGCTCATTGAATCTTTCAGTTGCCAAGCCAGAACCATGGATAGGGTCCAAGAACAAAGGGCACCACTGTGGCACTGACCCAGGAAATTGAGCACTGACCTAATTTGTTAATTTTAGAACATTAAAAAAATTCTTAATTCAACATAAAGAAATTAAAGAAGTACTTGGTGCTTCAAAAGTATTTCAATGCAAATTGCCTTTGCAAATTAAATAAACTGTTTTTCATTTAATTCTAATTTAAATCACATAACCTCTCTCTGGGCCTCAGTTTCTCCATCTCTTTATGAATAGAGTGGATAGAATAACTTTAAAATCCTACAGCCCTAAAGTTTTTTATTTCCCTTAGGCAAAAACAGCATCATCTTTTTCTGTCTCCAATTCCTGGCATAGTACCTATCATAAACCAGGTGCACAATAAGTGTTTAATGAACAAATACATGTATAAATGAACACATGAATATATTTTAAAAGAATTCTTTCTAAGAATTTACAAAAGAATTTGGAAATGGAGTGGCTCTCTGAAAGCCAATCCTCTGTGAATTATGAAAAACTATGTTTTAGGCAATTCCAAGGAAATACGGCAAGAACTAAATTTTTCTAAGGCTATTACTACCTTCAAACCACCAATGGAGTAAAGAGAGTTAAAATTTTTAAAAATGGTTTTAAGACTATAAATTTGAAAACCTAATTCTAAAAAGATCGTTTTTTTGATTAGCCAAAACATCCTCTGTATTGAGGCTACTGGTTCCAGTTTCCTAAAAACAAAATCCTGATAATTGTAGGATTTTCTCTTGGGGAGTGATTGGTTACTGGAAACATTCACTTTAAAAAATTCTAAAACTAAAGATAAATGTTTTGCCAATTCAATCTATATTGTCAGCTGCTCTGGAAACCATGTGCTTGTTCTAAAGTAAGTGAAAACATCATGCAGAAAACTAGTCATTAAATATAATGAAAATTATTATTATGCTCAGTTCATACTTCTCCCTCCTGGGAGATTGATCTGTCTTTGCCTTAAACACACACACATACACATATGCATGCATGCACACACACACACCCCTTTTGAGACTTCTTTTCTACACTCTGGCTACCTTTGAGGCTCATTAAACTTAATATGAACCTATGTTGGGGAAGGGATCTGGTCATCTTAAGTAGTGGTGTCATAGCCAGCATGCCAACTCCCTAACCTGGTCCCTGTTAAGAGTCACGCGGTGTGGGTAGCCACAGATCTAGGTAGCCCCGATCATTAAATGCAAAAGCTGCACTGGGATACCCAAAGTGCTCAGTGCTCCACCAAAGAACTACTGCAGCGTCAAGAAAACAGGGACCTGTGATACCAACCTGTCCTGCCAGTTTCAGGAAGAGGGGAGTCAATAGAAATGCTATGGACCACAGTCAGAACAAACTAAAACACTCTCACTTAGAAAGTCTATAAATACACTAACTACACCTCACTGAAAAATTGGAAAGTTCTGGTATTTAAGGAGATGTTTGTCCATTTAGTGGTTCAATTACTCAAAAAACACTGTTCTGGCTGAGTGCAGTGGCTCACGTCTATAATCCCAGCACTTTGGGAGGCTGAGGGGCGTGGATCACTTGAGGCCAGGAGTTCGAAAACAGCCTAGCCAACATGGTGAAACCCCCTCTCTGCTAAAGATACAAAAAAATTAGCAAGGCATGGTGGTGCATGCCTGTAATCCCAGCTACTCAGGAGGCTGGAGCAGTAGAATCGCTTGAACCCAGGAAGCAGAGGTTGCAGTGAGCTGAGATCGTGCTACCGTACTCCAGCCTGGGTGACAGAGTGATACTCCATCTCAACAAACAAACAAAAACACTGTTCTCCCCATCTAATTATGTGCCAGGTGGTGGACCAAGAGCTGAAAAGCCAAAAAGAACAAAATATTCTCTGCCCTCAAATAGCTCATAGTCTATTTGGGGGGTGGAAGGGTAGGGATTAGAGGACAAGTAAAGAAACATTAAAACACAAACATATAAGAATTGTAATAATCGAGGAGTGGACAATCTATACAATTTTAACACGAAGTCTTTGAGTCTAGTTTGTTGTTGTTGTTTTTAGACAGGGTCTCACTCTGTCTCACGCCACCACACCCAGCTAATTTCTGTACTTTTAGCAAAGATGGTGTTTCACCATGTTGGCCAAGCTGGTCTCAAACTTCTGACCTCAAATGATCCAATCTGCCTCGGCCTCCCAAAGTGCTGGGATACAGGTGTGAGCCACCGTGCCTGGCCCCTAGTACCTTTTTTCAATAGAAAAAATGAGGAAATCAAATTGTAACTTCATTTTTATTTTCTGTGATAAATTTTAAGCCTATGATAAATAGACTGGAGCTCCCATTTTGGGAAGGAGGGAGAGGAGAAATTGCATTTTGAAGTTTTCCTGAGTTAATTCTACCTCTAAAGGACAATGGATTGCAGCAATTTTATTAACTAGGACCTTATTATGAGGATTGCCATAGTATGAATACAGTTACCTCAATACCATCTGAAGACCATCTACAAGAAATCCCTCAAGACTACTAATTTGAGTCTATACTCTAGAACTGACGAATGTTTTGCAAATGTCCTCTCGACTGCCTAAAATTTGCTGTTGGTGATTATAATAATATTTACATTTCTGCTTTTTGCAATAATTATGTACTATTAAATAAACAATGTTTTAAAATTACCATATTTGATGTCTCATTAAAAGCAACACTACAGGTATTCGGAGGAGGGGACTGCAAGTTAAAGGCAGAAGTATTCAATTGAGGTGGTGTAAAAATTACTACTTTGGGCATATGGTTCTCCAAGTGTGGTCTGGGGGATCACTGGGGTGCTTCCCAATTCTCTTCCAGAGAGTCTATGAAATAAAAACTGTTTTCATAATAATACTAAGATGCTTTTTGCCTTTCTCATGCTCATTCTTTCTTATGTGTACAGTGGTTTTCCAGAGGCCCCGTAATGTATGAAGACATCATGACTCTGTCAGCAAATAAAATGTATGCTTGAATATGCCTGCACATTAAAATTTGTTTTAATATATAACGTGTTAAATATTAATGATATAACTGACACAAAAAAAGATTTGGGGGATCCTAAATAATTTTTAAGAGTGTAAACAAATCCTGAGACCCAAAATTTTGAGAATCACTGCTTTAGGGGATAAACCTCAATGGAAAGGGCGCACCTAATCAAATTTATTCATATTTCATATGAAGAAACTAGTCCATAGGTTTCATGAAGACAGTGATTGTGTCTGTCTGGCTCGCTGTTTTATCCTCAGAATCTAGCATAGTGCCAGGTACGAAATAGGCATTCAAATATTTCATAAATTAATACGTGAATTCATACATACATACATTTATAAATGAAGGGTTTGCTAACTGACTTATTCAAGGTTACATAAAACATCAGCAGAAAAGCTGGAACTATATTTTGGGTCTCCTGCCTTCTATTCCTGTACTCATGCTACCTAGCTCAAGAATATTTTTGTTTTTGTTAATTTTTATCTTCTAAGTATAGAAAGCATGGGTAATCAGTTATCAACAATGTAGGACAATTATCTTATCATGATGTTGTGTGAGTTGAGTACTACACAGATTTTCTCTGGCTTTGAGAATAATCAGCATAGAGTAATACCAAAGAGCTGTAAACACAAGTTAATGGCAAGAGATATCAGATAAAACTTCCTGAGTTTTTGCCCAAAACTGTTGAATTTTTCATGATTCATTCTTGTGCTAATTCCTAATCTCATCCTTCTCCTTTTTTTTGGCCACGATCGTTAAACTTCCGGCAAGTCTTTACATTAGTACACTCAGTAGATCTCACACTCTGGAAAAATAAAACTGTAAAATGTTTTTTGAAAATATTCTTTATACCCTCAACATTGTTTTGAGACAACCAGTGGGTATTTGTAACAGAGATGAGAGAGTTTTGCTTGCCACCTTACTGACTGTTACAGAAAATGTGAGGCCCACAGCAGCCTACCTAGTACAAAGACGAACCACACCAGTCTTGTGAGATACTGCCTTGACGACCTAAATTCCGAGTCCTGTGAGAAGCGGCTTTTAGAGATGGCTAACTTAAGACAAAACCAACAAGCTGACAGACGCAGCTCTCCCAGTCAACTAGCAGGAATTCTTCTCTACCCACTCACCTTAAGGATGTAGTACTTCCTGTCTCCTTTATGATAAGAACTGCCAGAACTGGGTCTCCAGAAGTTAGACTACATTTGAAGGTTCCTATAGCTGGTGAGCCCTTCTATTCTGGGGCCTTTGGAAGGTTGCAATCACTGCCACTGGAGAAGGAATAAAACTTATTTAAATTTCTTCAGTACTTCTTCACCCATTCAATACTGTTCTCTAGAAAAGTTGATTAGATATAGTCAATTCTCCCTATTCATACTAGTTATGTTCTATAAAGTCATTGCCAACACTGAGTTAGCAAATATTGAACTATTGTTCCCAGGGGAAAAACAGGGTTAGTTGAGCCTCTGGTCATAACATTTTCATCAACCAATCAATATATAACCTTGTTTTATGTGTGTTTTTGTTTACACGTACATTATTTAATATATATTGTTCATTCATTAACACCGAACTCACAGCCAACAGCACCGTAACTCAGGCCTGAATGATACTTATCTAGCACGCGCATTTTTTCATAAGAATTTTTTTCCCTTAGGCATATCACAGCCTTTTAAAATTGTGGTAAATATACATAACATTTAGCATCTTAACCATTTTTAGGTGTACAGTTCAGTGGCATTAAGCACATTCACACTGTTGTGTAACCATCATCAGCATTCATCTTCAGAAATTTTCACCTTCCCAGACTGAAACTCTGTATCTATCACACAGTAACTACCCCTCAGTGCCCACCCAGCACCTGGCAACCACCGTGCTACTTTCCATTGCAGCTTTCTTGTGATTAGGAACATAGAAACACCACACAGCACGTCAGCACTATGCTTGGGGGCCATTTTTAAAAAGCAAAATCAATAACAGGAGCAATAAAAAAAAGAAGCACAAAATATGTGAAAACATGGCACTAAATAGACCGGAAAAAGGGAATTTGTTTATAGTATGAGAGCTGAAACAATAAGGTGGAACCCTGCCTTGTTTGACCTCATCTGGGAACCTGTGCGTCAGACAGGACTCAAATTTTTTGCCGCTCTGTGAATGCCAGTGAATGACTGAAAAAAGCTAGGAATATTGAGTTTCATAGATAAATTTCAGCAAGGAGGCAGATTTGTGGATACAGAAATCATGAATAATGAGAATTGTCTGTAAGTGGAACCTTTGTTCACTTTTTTCCAGGTAGTAAGAATGAAGAGCTGGAACATGTCTTGTAACCTGGCTGCCTTAGAAATTTTTACTTGCCTCACAGATCTAGAAAGGTAGACTTTGTGACTGATAATTGGCAGCTATGACCTGAAGCAGTTCTAGTTCATGTGGAGCATAATTTTCAGCATAATCTCAAATCCTTCTGCATAAAACAAAGAGCAAGCACTCAAGTGCCAGTTATCAATTACTTACTATGTGACAGGTGTTACATTCAGCAATTTACATGCATTATTAAATTATATCCCCCCAAAACCCTATGAGGAAGCTAAAGTTTAGGGAAGTTAAGTATCTCATCCATTATCATATAGTTAGAAGTGGCAAAGTTGAGATTTGAACTCAGGTCTATCTGACTCCAGAGCCTGAGTTCTCAATTCAACTGCTATGCAATTCTAAGCATATTTAAAAAAAAAAGTTTGACTTACTTGCAACTGTATAGATGCATATGTTACAATGATCATAACATTTCAAAGATTTACACATTGAAAAATGAATTTACCAAACAAATAAAACCTTAGAAGCCAGATCTAACATTGTCCCATAACAAAGAGTATCTGAAATCCTCAGGGCATCTGCTTTGTGTCTGGTTTTCCTTAATCTTTAATGATGGGCAAATCCAATGCATTATGTAAGGCCATTTTTTTCTCAAGAGATGTAGATACCTCTTAAGAATTTGATGAAAATGCATTAACTTTTCAGGCTACTGAGTTGCATTTTAGTGCACCGAGGCAGTAAATTAGTGTACAGTGTGCAAAAATGGTAGTGACTTTAAAAATAAATATTTGATATGAGCCACTGTATTCTCTTGGAAAAAAAAATGTAATGGATTAAATCTCTTAGGAATCCTTAGCTTCCCAAAAAGGAGTAGGAAAAAGAAATCTCCTTTGGCCTGGAAATATCTTCTGTTTCTTGCTGGCTATGTTTGCTTAGTTCTTTAATAGTTCATTTGACTAGATCTTGTGGCTCCCAAAGCTAAGGTTGAACGTTTGATCCCTACAGAGGCCACTTACATTTAGAGAACAAAAAGCTCTATTCTCTGCTCCCAGACTTTACCCCAAATCCCTGCCAGGTGTCTGCCCTCTGGTCAAAATGAGAAATTGGCAAAGGGGTGAAAACATATCACAGTATTGGGAAACAACAAAAGGTCACCCCTTTATCATGATGCTCTTTCTCTTTTATGTGCTCACAATATTCTGATATAACTTATAGAGAAGAGATACTGCACTTTTTACTCTCTGGAAATTTACTGCTAGAAATCTGAGGCAAACTGTAATAAGCTCTGCCATGCCAGTTATAAAGTTCATTATCTTATTCTATGTTCAGAGATTTTTCTACTAGCTGACATTATCCTCTTGGTAATAAACAATGAAGAAACACATCTTCTGAGTTATATTAATCTGCATCTTTAGAATAGGAAATAATAGCACTCAGTCAAAAGTTCAGTAAAATTTTCATATTAATAAAAGACATTAAACTATGTAAAAATACTTCCATGCACAATATGTCATAATAAGAATGACTTTCAATATTTACTAAGAATTTACTCAGAAAACAAGTTTCTCAAATTATAGATGAAAATTCTCTACTTATCATAATCTTAACTTTTAATTCAGGTCTTCCTAATTTTTATTTTCCTAATTACTTGGCACTAAAAATAATTTAATACAACAAATAAAAATATTTTTACTTCAAATACTTTCCTAAACAATATAAAATCATTTTAGTTTTTGAGGAAGTAATATTTCATATTTTAACTATGTAGTGTAAATTAAAATTGACTTATTTAAATTACAAGAGTTGTGTAAGGATTAATCAGATTTAAGTACAGTTTATATTATTGCCAACATAGACTTTTGTTTTTCAAATGTCACAAATATCTTTTATTATTTGTGGATTTATTCCTTTTATGAAGTAGTCAAATGAATCAGCTCACCCTTGACTGTAACAAAATACTGCTTGGTGACTTGTGACAGACAGGGTTTTAACCTCCGACAGCGAGATTCATTGTGGAGCAAGAGCCAATCATAGATCCTGACGACACTTGTCTCATCTAAGTTGGAATATAAAAAGCCACTTGGAATACAGTATAAAAGATTCACTGGTGTGGCAAGTTGTCTCTCAGACTGTACATGCATTAAAATTTTGCTCGGCATTACTCAAAAGCAAAAGAAAAGTAAAAGGAAGAAATAAGAACAAGAAAAAAAGATTATATTGATTTTAAAATCATGCAAAAACTGCAACTCTGTGTTTATATTTACCTGTTTATGCTGATTGTTGCTGGTCCAGTGGATCTAAATGAGAACAGTGAGCAAAAAGAAAATGTGGAAAAAGAGGGGCTGTGTAATGCATGTACTTGGAGACAAAATACTAAATCTTCAAGAATAGAAGCCATTAAAATACAAATCCTCAGTAAACTTCGTCTGGAAACAGCTCCTAACATCAGCAAAGATGCTATAAGACAACTTTTACCCAAAGCTCCTCCACTCCGGGAACTGATTGATCAGTATGATGTCCAGAGGGATGACAGCAGCGATGGCTCTTTGGAAGATGACGATTATCACGCTACAACGGAAACAATCATTACCATGCCTACAGAGTGTAAGTAGTCCTATTAGTGTATATCAACAGTTCTGCTGACTGTTGTTCTAGTGTTTATGAGAAACAGATCTATTTTCAGTCTCTTTTAACAAGCTGTTGGCCTGTATGTAAGTAGAAAGGAAAAGAGTTTCTCTTTTTCAAGATTTCATGAGAATATATTGAGACAAAAATCTGCTGCATTATTTGTTTTCTTATAGAGACAAAAAGCTAAAAAATAAAACACTTGCATAGCATTAGTTTAATAAGGAAAATATAGATAGCATGCTTATGCTTTCACAGTAATACCACCAAGGCAAGGACTGAGAGATACTACAAGCAATGTTAAAAACTTACATTAAATTTTATAATTATATTTGGTTGTGTAAAATAAGTTTTTTTCACTAATAACAGAAAAAAAAGAAACTTGCTGGATGTTTAAGCTTACTTGAGCACTGCTGAAAACCTAAAGTGATTTCTGTTATTTGAAACTCTTACAGTATTTTTTTGTTCTTCACAGTTAAAAATTTAATTTTGAAAGCTATTACAGTAAAGAGTATGACAAATTAAATATCTTAATGTATTAGTAAGAACAACAATGAAGTAAACATAGCATAATCATCATCATGAACTAGATATTAGAAAATGCCTAAGAAATAAACATTTTAATTGCATAGGTTATGGCTCACAAAGTCCTCCTTGTACCTTGACCATAGTACTATTGTTGAGAGTACCCAGTTTGTGTACTTCCAAGCAGGCATAGTGCCGAATAACCTTCTAAAATATTTTATTCTTCCTGAGAGGGAGGGCTTTTACCTGTAGTATCTACATTGCTTGTGACAGATGACATATTGCATACAATTCCATTTGCAGTCAGTTCAAAAGAATACTTTCTCCAGGAAAGAGAAACAGGCACCTTGACAGAGAAGGCATGGCAAGAAAAATTTTGTGTTATCTGTTATTTTGCTTTAATACAATGCTTTATATACTTTAAACAAGATTCAAAACAGTTTTAAAATATTATTTCCCTTATTAAGGAATCAGGTTATGATGCAGCAAAGAATTTCCATTTAAGACTCTGCTATCGAATAGGTCTGGAGTAGATTTACCTTTTATAGACAATTTTGGAAAACCAAAATAAAGGAAATTGTTAGTGCTTGTGCTTACATGACAGCCTGGCTTCCTAAAGACAATACTTTGGAACTTTTGAGATAGCCTGAATATAACATCAAAATTTTTGTGTGAATTACCTGCTTAGTTTTGCTCGTTTAAAAGGCTATTCCAAAGCCAAAATGTAACAGATGTATTATGTTTTCTACTAATTCCCGAGGCTCAGTAAGTTGCTCAGTGTGTCTTGTCCCCAGGTAATTCAGGCCTGGGGGAAGGGTTCCTTCTTCCAGACTGATTGGTACAGCTGCTCAGTAAGTGTAACTACTCAGATTCCCAAAGAATTCTAAGTGGTTGTTCCTCCACAGTGACTCTTGTTCTCTCTAATCATCATCATTTTAAAATTTCATTCAGTGTTCATGACTTCATAGAACCTTCCTTTGTCCATAGTTCTCTGGAAGGGGAATAGATTCCTGATGAACAGCTGAAAATACATACATCTGAAAAATTCTGAAAAGCTAGGGTAATTATTTTCTTTCACATTTTTTGCTGAGTTATAAAGTTCCACACAGTATTTCATTTTAAAAGACTGCATAGGCATACATTATCTTAATTTTTTTTTAAATGCTCAACTATTAATATGGAGGGGTTTTGTTAGTGGGAAATAATTTCAGTAACTCTTCTTTTCTTATTCATTTATAGCTGATTTTTTAATGCAAGTGGATGGAAAACCCAAATGTTGCTTCTTTAAATTTAGCTCTAAAATACAATACAATAAAGTGGTAAAGGCCCAACTATGGATATATTTGAGACCCGTCGAGACTCCTACAACAGTGTTTGTGCAAATCCTGAGACTCATCAAACCTATGAAAGACGGTACAAGGTATACTGGAATCCGATCTCTGAAACTTGACATGAACCCAGGCACTGGTATTTGGCAGAGCATTGATGTGAAGACAGTGTTGCAAAATTGGCTCAAACAACCTGAATCCAACTTAGGCATTGAAATAAAAGCTTTAGATGAGAATGGTCATGATCTTGCTGTAACCTTCCCAGGACCAGGAGAAGATGGGCTGGTAAGTGATAACTGAAAATAACATTGTAATAACCTTATGCTTTTATTCATAATATGAATAAACAATAGTGGAAAATAGCTACAAATTCCCTAAGCTCATAAGCCAGACAAAGGTATCTTACCCCAACGGTAGCCCTGTACCCAATAAAAGTAGGTGTCCAATTTCATATCCTATGAAACACTCCTTTGATATTCTTACTTTGCATGAAGATTTTAGAAAACAATTATACCATACTTCTTAACTTCTTAAGAAGTTCTTTTGAATTGGGAATGAAATATAAAGTACTTTTCATTAATATGATACATGACTGTATGAATTAAAATATTAACTCTATATAATGGATTTTATTACATATACAAACAATTCAAAAACTTTTTTTTCTCCCAGAAGGGTGCCAAATGTGTTAAAAATTTTTGGCTTAGCAAAAGCAGATAAAAAAAAAACTTTTAAAATTATAATTAAAATGTTTTATTCAGAGAAATTAAGAGTGATATTTATAGGCTTACATTTTATTAAATATATTTAAGATTCCTCATGATAAATATGTTCATTGTTTGTAGGATGTTGATGCACTGATGTGTGTATATATTTCTTTGTGGAATACTCCTAATAAAATTTCAATTTACAGGCTGGTTTACTTTTGCCACCTTATTTCTGCCAGCTTATTTCTGAGCTGCCTTAGCATTCTTATGCAAAAGTTTACTTACAGAAGGCCAATTAACTTAGTATCAGGCCAAGTAAATGACAATACCATATATATTATAAAATTTAATAAAAACCATTTTAATTCCTAGTACAAATTTAGGGTTACTCTTCTGGCCTACCTACATTTCTGTTTACTTCTGTTTTCAAATACTTAATGTGATCACATCTTTTTACATTCATCTATTGACATAATTTACAAAAGAAGATTATACTTACAAACAACAAACTTGTTACCTTCGTAATCTTTCAATGATCTTAGTTATAAAGATGAAATAATTAGCAGATCAGAATTACTTTAAATAAAACATTCTTTAAAATACTATACAATATTTTTTATTTTTTCATCTTTATTTACTTTTTTAATTATATATATGTGTACATACATATATACACACACACACATGTTTTACTTCAATATGTTGGGGGTTCAAGTGGTTTCTGGCTACATGGATGAATTGTACAGCGGTGAAGTCTGAGATTTTAGTGCACCTATCACTCCAAGTAGTGTATATTGTACCCAATATGTAGTTTTTAATCCCTCATCCCCACCTCCCCATTCTGAGTCTCCAAAATACCTTATACTACTCTGTATGTCTTTGCATACCCATAGCTTAGCTCGCACTTATAAGTGAGAACATATGGTATTTGGTTTTCCATTGCCTTCGAATAATGGCCTCCAGCTCCATCTAATTTGCTGCAAAAGACATTACTTCACTCTTTTTTATGGTTAAATAGTATTCCATTGTGTGTGTGTGTGTGTGTGTGTGTGTGTGTGTGTGTGTGTGTGTATATATATATACACACACCACATTTTCTTTATCCATTCATCCGCTGATGGGCAGTTAGTCTGGTTCCGTATCTTTACAACTGTGAATTGCGCTGTGATAAACATACGTGTGCAGGTATCTAAAAGACTATACAATTTTCTAAATGATCTAGTTTCCTTTATATATGCTACTTTAAATGTTAAGGACTCAAATGATATTATTATTTTTGACAGTCTTAAATAATACTGCCAGAGCTATTTTCATTTAGATATGGATTAAAAACTACTGTCAATTATTTAAGAAAGTGTTCCTTTTCATAGGTAGCATTTTAATGATCAAAATTGATAATATGACCAGTGGTTAATATGTTGTATTCCTCAGATATTTTCATGTAAAGGGAAACAAAGTCTCAAATGCATTAAAAGACTGGGGCAGAGACAGAACCAAGAAATTTTAAAATATCTGAATAGAAACATTTTCCAGTGAAAGAATTAAGGAGATATCATCATCTCTTCTTCTGAATTTGTCCTTCCCTATTTTTCCCTGGCTTTATTGTTCTAGTTTTCCTGAGTGAAGACCTAGAGAATGGAGGATGGATGACTATACCTACCCCTCCAGGAGTTACCAGGCATATTTAGCCAATATATTTAATCAGGAAGCAAGAAGAGAGGGAGCTCAGCTCTTTCCTTCATTCCCCTCTTCTCCTTCTTCTCCTCTCTCTCCTGTCCTTCCCTCCCTTTCTTCCCATAAATATTTTCAGGACATCCACTATGTGCCAGGCAGTCTGGTACTCAAACTTGGAAAAATAAAAATTAAAAAGACATGGAACTGATCTCAGGGGAATTTGTATTTCTGTTAAATTCTTTTGAGACATAAGGGGAAAATCAAGTCTAGTGTAAATTAACATTCCTTAATGCTGTGCCTTTTAAAAATAAATGTGGTATGAGCAAAATTATTAGTTTATTTCTTCAACAATGACTTCTTAAGGCAGGTAGAAAAGTGTTTCCGGGTCTATTGACATTACTGATTGTCCTTTCCTTTTCAAACAGAATCCCTTTTTAGAGGTCAAGGTAACAGACACACCAAAAAGATCCAGAAGGGATTTTGGTCTTGACTGTGATGAGCACTCAACAGAATCGCGATGCTGTCGTTACCCTCTAACTGTGGATTTTGAAGCTTTTGGATGGGATTGGATTATCGCTCCTAAAAGATATAAGGCCAATTACTGCTCTGGAGAGTGTGAATTTGTATTTTTACAAAAATATCCTCATACTCATCTGGTACACCAAGCAAACCCCAGAGGTTCAGCAGGCCCTTGCTGTACTCCCACAAAGATGTCTCCAATTAATATGCTATATTTTAATGGCAAAGAACAAATAATATATGGGAAAATTCCAGCCATGGTAGTAGACCGCTGCGGGTGCTCATGAGATTTATATTAAGTGTTCATAACTTCCTAAAACATGGAAGGTCTTCCCCTCAACAATTTTGAAGCTGTGAAATTAAGTACCACAGGCTAAAGGCCTAGAGTATCCTACAGTCACTTAAGCATAAGCTACAGTATGTAAACTAAAAGGGGGAATATATGCAATGGTTAGCATTTAACCATCCAAACAAATCATACAATAAAGTTTTATGATTTCCAGAGTTTTTCAGCTAGAAGGAGATCAAATTACATTTATGTTCCTGTATATTACAACATCGGCGAGGAAATGAAAGCAATTCTCCTTGCATTCTGATGAATTAAAGGAGTATGCTTTAAACTCTATTTCTTTACAGTTTTGTTTAATATTTACAGAAAAATCTACATACAGTATTGGTAAAATGCAGGATTGTTATATACCATCATTCGAATCATCCTTAAACACTTGAATTTATATTGTATGGTAGCATACTTGGTAAGATAAAATTCCACAAAAATGGGGATGGTGCAGCGTATGCAATTTCCATTCCTATTGTAATTGACACAGTACATTAACAATCCATGCCAATGGTGCTAATACAATAGGCTGAATGTCTGAGGCTACCAGGTTTATCACATAAAAAACATTCAGTAAAATAGTAAGTTTCTCTTTTCTTCAGGTGCATTTTCCTACACCTCCAAATGAGGAATGGATTTTCTTTAATGTAAGAAGAATCATTTTTCTAGAGGTTGGCTTTCAATTCTGTAGCATACTTGGAGAAACTGCGTTATCTTAAAAGGCAGTCAAATAGTATTCGTTTTTATCAAAATGTCAAAATAACATACTTGGAGAAGTATGTAACTTTGTGTTTGGAAAATTACAACACTGCCTTTGCAACACTGCAGTTTTTATGGTAAAATAATAGAAATGATCGACTCTATCAATATTGTATAAAAAGACTGAAACAATGCATTTATATAATATGTATACAATATTGTTTTGTAAATAAGTGTCTCCTTTTTTATTTACTTTGGTATATTTTTACACTAAGGACATTTCAAATTAAGTACAAAGGCACAAAGACATGTCATGCATCACAGAAAAGCAACTACTTATATTTCAGAGCAAATTAGCAGATTAAATAGTGGTCTTAAAACTCCATATGTTAATAATTAGATGGTTATATTACAAACATTTTATATTTTTTTACATGATTAACATTCACTTATGGATTCATGATGGCTGTATAATGTGAATTTGAAATCTCATTGGTTTACTGTCATTGCATTTAAATCTCAACGTTCCATTATTTTAATACTTGCAAAAATATTACTAAGCATACCAAAATAATTGACTCTATTATCTGAAATGAAGAATAAACTGATGCTATCTCAACAATAACTGTTACTTTTATTTTATAATTTGATAATGAATATATTTCTGCATTTATTTACTTCTGTTTTGTAAATTGGGATTTTGTTAATCAAATTTATTGTACTATGACTAAATGAAATTATTTCTTACATCTAATTTGTAGAAACAATATAAGTTATATTAAAGTGTTTTCACATTTTTTGAAAGACACAACAGTTTTTATTCTAATGATTAACTCTGGATTTCTGATTTTCACTTTATCATAAAAGTCTAATGGTTTAGCACAAAAGTTTGGTTGAGGAATTTTAGGTCTGCTACTCTGGTTCTCAGGAGTTAAGTTCCTATTAAATTGGTTCTGGTCAAGTTGCTTTACACATATGAAAGCAAGGACTAGTTATATCTGTTTCATTTCTCTTTATCTTGACCTGAAAACTATTTATATGTTTTCATAGGTTCAATTTCCAAATGCATTGCAGTTGGCAAGGGTATATGGTCCTAGAGTTACAAGTTCTACTGAAGCCACAGAGACACAAGGAAGCTACATTTTTTTCTTACCACTTAATGAAACTGGTACACTTATCTGAACTTTGGGGGCACCAATTTTCAAACTGAATTGCAAAACAGTTGTAAAGTACCTAGAAATCCTTAAGTGCAATAACATATACAAATATTTTTTAAGTGATCCCTCCACTCCACTCTCCATCAGTTTAGTAACTTAGTTATAAAGCAGTGACTAAGTTTAACAGGGAGGATAATTAAAATTCTATGTGTTAATATCGCTAAATAGTTTATAATTAATATAAATGTCATTTCAATAATTTCTATTTGTATATTATATACAAATATAAATCTAAATTCAAATATTGATTAAACTATATGATAAAATCCATTTCAAATATCAAATGATCACTTTTTAAAATAAAACACCTGAGTACTACCAATAATATAACTAAGAAATGAAACTATAGGCAATGATAGGCAAGTCATGACTGGTCTGGCACGTGACATAGAGTGTTGAAATTTCATTTGCATGGTCATTCAGTTCCAGTTTACACACTGCAAAACATATCAAAGCAAAATATACTATTTTGGTCATTCCTGAGTAAGATGTGGAGCAATGAAAAATGGTACTAAATTTAGTACCATTCATGCCTCGATGGCATTTTGCAGAGGAAGTATTTGGAAAATGAGTATATTTACATCAGATAGCATGCATGGTTTATAGCAAGTTTATCTTGGTTGCCATTCAAAACACTAGACAAAAGGAATATTTAAATATATTTTCCTAGATTACACATCAAAATGCTTCCATTAGTATCACATCCTGTCAAGAACACAAGATGTTCTTGAATGTAAGATTTTACATATGAGGCTGCCCAATTTGTCTGACAGGCATAAAATGTATATATAATAATGACATATCTCCTTAATAAGATAACTTATAAAGGTTGACTAGCTTATGTCAGGTTTAACATTACACTAAGTATTCCTGATATGGAACTGTATAGTTTGGCAATGATGCAAGACACACATGCTTTGTTTTCATTGATTCCACTTTTGGATTACTATAAGAAAGAAAAGTTTTTAACAGTGTTATATTATTGTTTCTGCTTCATAATAAAGCTGATGTTTCACACACATATACTTTCTTAAAAATCAACTTTAATAAAATGTAATTTTATTAGTTCTATATATGCACTATAGGCAAAATATTATTCACTAGTATTAATTTATAGAAATGTAAAACATAATACCAGGTTCTGATCCTAATGAGATCTATTGAAAACGTCTCCTGAGATGGGCTAACAGCTATATTTGACTCAATTTATCTTAATAGTAACTTTAAACCAAAAATGTAAAAATGATTAAATCACTAATTGACCCCTTTAATTTGTTATCCTAACCATTCAAGATTACTCTATTAGGAAACTTTTTCCTACAAGTGTTAAGGGTTTTTTCTCTTTAACATTTTATGAAGGACACCATTCAGAACAAAATTTGATTATGCGGTTTGGGCCATAGATCCTCCACAAGATTTTCTCAGATCTGCTCTCACGGACACTAAGTCTAAGAAGCCAAATGTCTCTTGGCTCTATTCCCATGGAACTCAGAACCTTGGCATTACCTCTCAACCAGCCAAAAACAAAGCATGTCTATACAAGAAAGTATGCCTACATGACGTCATGAGATCCTGAAAATGCTGAGATAGAATTCTGAAGGTGACAATCAAGCATAAAACACCAGTTTACTGAGCACACTAAAGTGACTATGGGAGAAAATCAAAATTGTTACATGGAAACAATTGAGTGGTCATTGAGGCAATTGCTAGGCTTCAAGTTTCAAGAATATCTTCCCGAAAAGCTGCATACTTTTCAGGCAACTCAAGTAATGGAGTGAATTATATGGCTGCCTGCACCCTAGGTGAAGGATTCTACTGAGGAACACCAGGTCATCTTGGGCTCTGAACGAGGCCAGGTGCCCTGGGATAAAAATTATAGTAAAGAAAAGCAGATGAGTGTACTCCTCCCTACTTGTAGATATGCCTTGTCTGTAGATATGCCAGTAAAATTGTCCCAAAGTCTAGAATCTACCAAGACCTGTGTCTTACAGTGAACTTAAGTTCCTTACGGCACCAGTCAGACAGAATTCCACCAAAGTTGCATAGGACTGATGCAAACCCAAAGAGATTCCTACCTTCTCATCGGCCAGGGTGCATACCTGTGACTGAAACAAATTGCACCAAGTAAGTTTCTTATGGGAGAAATAGCTCTGCAAATGCAGGGCCAGCAGAAATCCTTCCTTCACCGAGAGAAGCGTGTGGACTATGAATAGTGAGCCCTATCCAGCTTGACCAGACAGATGTTTGACCAAAGACTCCTCATCCTGGCCAAAGACAGCAGCGTCATCTCAGGGCAGCAATTGGGACAGTGGCTGGAATCTGGCCATATATATATTGACACAGCCTTACCTAGTACATTACGTGGTTAGTGTATTTGGCCCTCATATATCCTCTTAAGCTTAATAAGGAATAAATTACTTATAGGAAATTGGACGAGATCCATGAGTATGACTTACAGAAGAAAATCACATTATATAGGAACTATTATCTCCATTTTGGAAATGAGGAAGTTGAGACTCAGAGAGGTGCATGACTAATAAATGACTAAGATGGGTATACACATAATGTAAGAAATACAAATGTAGAGGTACAATTTTTCATAGTCATTAACTCAGGTGTGCAGAACTGTAACTTTTGATTTCTCACAAAATTGACCAGCTTTTACCGGAAGCCTCCTCATGCTATATCACCATTTCTACTTTGTAGATGCAGCATCATTGGGAACCACTCTAATGATGCTCCTCTCCACGGACCTCACACAGAAAATGATGTACAATAGCCATATCCCCCTGTTCTCAAATGTCTGAACTTCTAGGAAGGGTGTAATATCTCTAATTCCTTACAGTTCAGCTCATGAGGGAGGGCATCACAAAAATACCAATGTCTGAAGCCTCTCTCTTCCCAAAAAATTGTCTCCTGTCATCAGCTCATGAGATCTTTAAGTGAAAAGACACAGAAATAGGTTCTGACTGACTGGCTGTATTTACTGACTCTTTATATTTGATACCTGAGCCTAGACCCTTGCACTTGCTAC